AGTGAGGGGAAGATAAGAGAAAACTGTAGGAAGTTTTCCAGTGTAACTACAACAGCAGAGCTCAATAGCAGAGACAGAAGTGAAGGGTAGTATTAATAATGCCATACGAGGGATCATTAATAGCAAAAAAAATTAAGTTCACATTTTTTTGTTACTGATACTGTTTCCAGTTTAGAAATATGATGTTTTGTATGTCAATAGCTATGATGTAATGCAACATCAATCATACAGCCTGAAAAAAAGGAGAAACAACTTTTCCAGAGAAACTATGCAAAATTCTTTTAGAAACTTTTTTAAAAACTTGTCACCTAATTACAAACAAAATGGTTAATTATTACGTTGAAATTGAAATATCCTACCAAAGTGGGGAAGTTAAACTTTACATTGTCATGAAACTACATGCTATTACATCAAAGCATGGAAAATAGAAACAAATCAAATGCAGAAAACAATACAAAAAATACGTAAGGATATTTAGCACCAATTTGTTTAATTAAAAAAAAAATAAATCCTTCTAAAACCTACTGAAAGAATACTGACCTGAATTTGTTTTGTGTGGATTTGGTTTTGCTTTGTTTTTTTTTTTTTGAGGGGTAGGGGTTGGTTTGTTGTTTCTTTGGGTTTGGTGGGGGCTTTTTTATTATTACTATTATTTCTTAGCTGAAACGCACGCTCTGCATGTTCTGCAGAAAAGCTGACTGGCACAGAGAGAATACTTTTCATGATAGCAGTTTGAAAAATAGATAAGACTAACAGCACATCACAACAAGAAGGGGCAGGACATAATTTGTTACTTTTGTCCAACACAGCAACAAACTGGAAGAAGAATATACACTGAAATGATCAACTGTACGTGACTGAAAACTACAGGAGGCAATAAAACTCTAAGTGACATAGATGGGCCAAGAATATAAAGACAAATGGCTAAGCAGTTCAATGCAGAAAAATTAATGAGGCTAGGAAAAAAATTAATCAGATTCACTTCAATGAATATTTTGCACAGTTATTTTTTTCAATAACATCAGTTTGACAAACAGTTTTAAAGGACATCAGAATGCTGTAGCAGACTACCTTTATCAACCATAAACAAATAAAAATTATAATCGATGTGTTCTATATACATTCTATACACATTCTAGATTGTATAAACAATTCTAAGCACAGAAAAAATACATCCTACTTTTCAAGTTCCTTCTCAACCTCTCTAAGCTGCTTTGGAGTCCCCTCCACTCCTAATCATCTGCAAGAGATTCTGAAAACAAGAAGGCCAACTTAATTCAGTAAGGCAATATCCTGTGCAAGGAAAGGCAGGGCTTTACATGAAGTAAATCTAAATCAGGTTGACTGCGAAACGAGAATGAGCATAGATAGATGGTACAGAACAACTAGGGTAAATTGTTGTCTCTCTGCAACCTGCCCTCCAGTACTATGAGTGGAAGACTACACAGAAGCATTAGCCCTACAATCTATTTTGCAGTTGTGCACTGAGCACAGTTGTATTGCTATCTCCAGGCTTATCCTGCTTCCTGAATTTGCACTCAGTATACATCAACATGATTCTAATAGATAGCAATCAGTCCTCAAGTCATTTTCCAAATTGCTTCTCACAGCAGGTTCCTTCTACCAGCCCACACTTCTTGCAGTGATGTGATTCAGCTTGTTAGGCAGCTTTCACTTCATAACTTTGCCATTAGGTCCCTATTCTTTGCATTACATTAATACTTAGAGGTGCAAAGGCTCTTGAATGTTTCTCTCCTTTAGCACAAACGATTTACCTAGAAGCATGTGACAGCATCAGAGGATCAAAGGAATGGTAACTGATGTCATCTACCTGGACCAGCACTCTTCAACACCTTTATTAGTGACACAGATGGTGGAATTGAGTGTACCTTCAGTGTGTTTGCTGATGACACCAAGCTGAACGGTGCAGCTGACACAGTAGAAGAGAAGGACGCCATGCACAGGGACCCAAAGACAAAACTGTACACAGAAACTTCGAGAATGGCTCTGTCATCACATATTTGTGTAGTAACTACCAGAGGATTCCATCTCTGACAACTGTACATTCCCAGCACACTATTTTTCTCTGCGTGTAATTTGATAGAGCAGGTAGAACATACCTATTTCTACAACTTCACAACATCCAACCTACAGACCAAATCCTGACTCCAAAATCTATTAGCACATTTCAATGGCTAAAATAATCTTCACTTCCAAATGTATACATATAACACATCTTTTTAAAAACTCCTGAGTTTTTATGGTGAAAAAGAGCACATCACAGCCACAAGCTAACATATGTGACCAACACTGCTTTTTACTGGGTCTCTATAGGATAATTATTATTCAAGTATGAATGAAAGGCTTTCAGCATCATTTGTGTTACTTCACGTTCTTTGTCTGTGTTGATTTCTCACATTACGACTGGAGAAAAGGCTCGAGTTGAAAATGCACAACAGTGTTTCAGTCCACAGATTACCTTATTTTTTAGATACTCTGAAAAGACTTGTCACAATCTCTCTCAACAACGTGAAAACCTGTATCAAGCAAACAAAGTCAGAGATGTTCTGCTAATACAGCTACTGCTTCCAAGTAAAGGCAACACTACTACGTAAGGTGCAGAAACAAGCAGAAATTTTTCTGGAATATCTCCATCATGACAGCCCACTAATTCAGTTCATCACAATCAACAGTCGCCTCATCCCCCCTCCAACACACACACACACACACACACACACACACACACACACACACACACACACACAAATGAAAACTAGCTACGTGCAATAGAACAGCAACCTATCCCTACATTACTTGCTTTAAATTTCAGACTGGAGCCTGTTACATAGTTCTACCCTAGTTCCTTCTCACTATTACAGTAAATAATAACAATCTGGTTTTCTAGACTAATATCATCACTAAAGACCCTTCTTAAATACGATCTCTGTTGGAAATGGAGCTAAAACAAGCATTTTCCAATAACGCACACACACCAGATTCCACTGAACTGTGTATACGTTCACATGCATATACTTGTTTGTATATATTTGTGTATAAGCATACAAACCCACATTTTCCCTAATAAATATATGTAATGTAGACCCAGCACTACATATGATTTACTACTTACACTTTCACTACATTAAGAATTTTCTTTACGTTCCTTTCATGAAGAACATACTAAAAAAAAAATATGAATTTATGCTTATGCAGCAAGAGAAACAAGGGGCTCCACGTACACTTAGAACAGGCATAATTTACTGAAATCTACAAAAAAGAATACTGACACCTTATGCGGTGTGTGTGACATTATAACAATGACATGCAGAGCAATGTACTTAAATTTTCTATTCCTGTATGTATTTGCGTGAAATTTAGAAAGTGTGGGGGAGGAGAGCAGGGACGCAACAAATCTGTTTTTACTTCAATCCATAAATTTCAGTTTCTGAGGAAGTATTTACATATAATTAAGAAGCAGAAGTGAAATCACAGAATTTTAGTAGTTGGAAGGGACCTCCAGAGATCACCAAGTCCAACTCCCCCTGCAAAGCAGGCTCCCAACAGCAGGTTGCACAGGTAGGCATCCAGGCAGGCTGAATCCTCCAGAGATGGAGAATCCACAACCTCCTGGGCAGCCTGTTCCAGTGCTCCGTCAGCCTCACTGTGAAGAAGTTCTTCCACATATTGGTGTGGAAGAACTTCCTGTGCTCCAGTTTATGGCCATTTTCCCTTGAGCAGGTTTAAGTTAAATCTTGTCTTCATTCCGATTTCATAGTCATAGAATCGCAAGGTTGGAAAGGACCAAGATCATCTAGTCTAACCATCCCATCACCATTGCTACCACAAGCAACTAAATAATTTTTTGTAAAGAAGGTTTCTACTGTTATACTGTGTTTCAAAAAGTTGAGCTTTCACATCAGTCACAATCACATAAAAACATAACATGCTGGATCAAAGGATGAAAAAGCACTATTCGATGATCCTTTGCAAGCTTAAACACTCCATATTCTGCGTAGCACCTCAGAATTTATTCACAGCTGTATTTTATAAGAATGTCATAACTCACTGAAGTGTTATGTCTAGTCTAGTATTGTTTCCATAGCTCTATTTCATCAGCATCAATCTCACCATAGGATGCATCACAGAATGAAAAAAAAAAAAAAAAAAAAGCCACAACTTGTGCTACATTGTATTGTTACACTGAAGTAGTCTCATATTTGTAGGAAAAGGAAGTGTTAATTGCAGCTTCTATCTCTTTCCATAAGTTTCCTGAGCATACCTTCCAGAACTGTCTTAAGTCAAAATCATTTCACGTGTTGTTTTGACAAAGTCCTACAACAAAGTGACCAGCCAAGCCTTCCAAATTTCCTACTTGCTCCACATTTTCATGTGAGATACAGAGCCATTTGATTCTGCAACACCCTCTCAGCACTTACTCATCAGCAGCTAAAATCTAGTGGACAAAGGCAACAGTCAAGTTATCTGACAATACATTTGTTTTCACATGAACACACTGTCAGCACTCACAGATGAGACACAGAACTACTGTATTTGTCTGAACATGAAGAACACTCACTAAGTAGACAAGCAATAATAATTCCACGCCTCACCGTTTTCTCCTATTTCTAAGCAGAAGAATCATTCTTACAGCACATGTTGCTACATTAGCAGCTTTAGCACTAACACAGCTAACACAGCTTTGTGATTTGTTTTTGTGTGGTGATATTTTTTTTTCCAGAAGTTTGTCCACTAAGACAAAATGATGCAAGACAATAGAACAAGAAGGCATCTAACATCCTACTTATTAGTATAATGCATTCAAATTACATAAGAGAACAGGCATTCAACTATATTTATTCTTCTTTTACAAGATCTATTCTAAACGCTGAAAGAATTAGATCAAAACAAAACCATCCAGAAAAACAATACATCAATCAGGAAAGTTTTATAGTTTAAATGTTATTTAGATGGAATTCATAGCTTTTTCAAGATACACTCACCAAGATCTGTGTTGGGGCCAGCAAGTAGCTGCTTAAATTTGTCTAATCGGGATGCTTCTCTTTCAGTTAATGCAGGAGTAACTGAGGTACTGAAGTCTGCCATTCCACTCACCAAAGGAGGTGTGGAAGTTTGTGGAAGGGACTGTGATCTCTGCATGGAAGAATTTTCACTAGCATTATCTGAAGGGAAAAAGAAGCATAGTACTCAGCCTCAGCTATTAAGAAGACTACTAGTAATTTGAATTTAACTTTTAAATTCAAAACACAATTCTCTTTTGGAGAAATAGAGAAATATAACCTAAAGGCATAACACCAATTTGAAGTGCAAGCTACGTGAATTTAATAGCAGAGCTATTCCTCTTCCTAGCAGTATTCCACAATTAAATCACATCAATTAGAGATGATACTAACAGCAAGGTTAATTCATTTCCATAATCACTGTGAAACTGAAAGTTGTTTTTACTCCCTCTCACCGTTCTTAAAACAATAATAATATGGAAATCATTGCAATTGGTCACTTTAAAAGTTGACACAGGAATACAGCCCAGATCACTCGATAGGACAAATTTCCCAGTCCATACAAATCATTTTTCTTCATTTTTAAATATTTTATACAGTAGCATTTTAGTACAAACTTTTCCTACAGCAGCAGTATTATTATTATTATTAATTGCACACATCTTGATGCAGTTAGGCATTAAAATACAGTAAATAGTGCCACTGCCTCCAAAAATTGAATACATATCTAGTCTGAAAACAAAGAAGTTTATTCTTTCCTGACCGACATATTTCTCATAGACAAGCTTTACAGTTTAGTATGGAGTGCAGTACCTCCCTCAAATCATCTAATACTGATTAGTAATAGTTACCTGTGGTAAAGGTTGGGAAGGAGTTAATGCCCTAAAAGGCAAATATGATAGGTCTCCTCACTTGATTTTCCACACCTTTTCCCATTTCTTAACATACCTGATGAACTTGATGTATGACCTTCACTGACTGACTTAACGAGCCTATTATCACCACATGTGACTGCAGACAGCTCTGCCGATTCCACTTGTTTTTCTTCCTGTGGATGCTCTTCCAGAAATTTATGCTGTTCTTGTAACTTGCTGTGATTCTGAATTACTTTGTGAGCCGTTTCCATGACCACTTCTGTATTTAAGTTTTCAGCAGCTATTGCTAAGAGTTCATCATCGTCATCCCCAAGATCCCAAGCATCGCTTGTATTACTTTCAAACTCTTGGAAGGTGCTGACTTTCTTTAGTTTCACCGGAGTTGTAGGTGGCTTTGAACCCGGTTTTGTCAAGCTGTTAAATAACAAGTAAACAATGATGTTTAGAGAATCAGTAATGATTCTCAATACATTATTGGTAGGGAAGCAAAAAAAAAAAACCAACAGTGTTTGACATTGTACAGGCAGCAGATATTTCTCTCCCTCTACTCAAGTTACTGCTGCTTCCAACCATGATATAACACTGTGGAACATTTCTGAGGAGAAAGGCAGGTAACAACCTCATGCTTCCTCGCTTTGAATGCAGCCTGAACAAATCTTCCCTTTCCTTGTCTCCAAAATAGACAGACAGATAAAAGCTCAAGGTCAAATAAAATAAATACTGCTGGAATACTTTATAAAACAGAGAGGACACGTTACAATTCACTTGCTTTATGAGCTTTTATAGAGGTTTCAGGCCCTTCCATGCAGTTGCTGTGTAATCAAGCAGCAGCAGCAATCAAGTCATCAGGTCTAATCCTAAATCACCATATGCAATCAAGCAATGCAATCACTGTCATAAACAAATCAAATCTCACCTTAAAACTCATTAGATCTATCATTCCTCCCCAATCATGCACTCTAGCACGAATTTGCTTCAGAACTTTGCTCTTCTGATAGCCAGGATATTTCCTCAAGTTCCTACTCTGAGCATGCCCTGATCATCTGCTAACTGTATCCTTCTGTCAAAATACAGCACAAGAGAGAGAATACAGACATTCCTCACTACTTTGGCCCTTGCTCTCATTTACTGTAATGCAGAGCAATCACATCAGCTTTCAGATTTCAGCTAAATTACACACTGAGTCAGCTTCCCTACTCTCAAAAAATAAAATTAAAAACTTTTGAAAATTAAAAAAGCAGCAGCAGTCAGAATCCAATAACGCATTTTCCTAAACACCTCAGCCATAAGGAAATGAAGAATAATGCACTTACATTAGTTATGGGTTATTAGCAAGAAATGTATTTGGTTACTAATGATGATAATTTTACCCTTTTCATACACATTGTGTTCTGATATCCAATAATCTTGATCTAAGGCAATTTTTAAATTACTGCCATATCTCTTCCACCTACTGCCACAAGCAAAATTCCCACTTTCATCTGAAAGCAATCCACACCATAATTTGATTCTTTTATTTCACAGATGAACAAAATAGGCAGATCATCAACAGAAAGATGCATACAGATTGGTTACATCTCAACTATAAGCTTCATCTGCTAAATTAAGATAAGTATTTACCATAAGTTTTTAAGGCACTACAGAGATGAAAGATTGCAGTCTATGTTAGACAAGACTCTAAAAAGCTCTTTTGCAATTCACAGTATGGTAAGCATCAGGAAGTGACAAAAGAGCTCAGAAAAGTCAAGTTTATGACAAAAATTATGAAAAGAAAGTTAACAGTATTCTAATAGCAAAGAAGAAAAGGAGGAAAGAAGACAGATAAGATTCAAACCATCTGGGTTATCTGAATATTAGGTTAACTTACGTTCCATGCAGCAGTGGATCAAAAGGCGGATGCTGAGCTCCATACACATGTTGGATACTACAGGAAAAGAGAGAGCGTATGTTAATTAGGCACTAATAAACAGAACTGAGATGTTCTAGTCGTCCTCCATTTCTTAGAATCCCCTACAGAACTAAAAGCAAAGCATCTGAAATTAAAGTGTACACTCAAAAGTAACTCAACAAAAAGCCTGAGGCCAACTTAAGGTGATTCTTTTTTTCTGTATAGAAATTAGAACAAGAGGTAACTCCACAGTAAGAAAGTTCAAAAGAAGTAGATTTTCTTGCTTCTGATTTATCATTTCTTTGAATAAAATAGAACAAAACCTCTCAGAGTTATCCGCAAAGATTTAAATTTTTCTGCATGCTTGTGGCCCAAAATCTCACCAGCCAATTCTTAACAGCTACCGACACACAAAGCCAACCAATTTAAAGAAAAAAACAAAGACAGTACACAGAAGATGGCATGTTAGAGAACGTAAGCCATGGGAGTACAAAAAATATATGCTTTAATATTAATTAACTTCTATTTACCTCTATTTCCTTCCAGATTTCAGCCACAATATTATTTCAAGTAAAAGTGGCTTCACATTGAAAGCTATTACTCCACAATTCTGATTGTAAGAAAAGCAAATTACAATACAGTGCTGACATTACCTAAATCTGCACTAAAAACTACATCAAAAGTCGCGAATGTCCTCCTGACAAATCAAAAATTAATCTCAAGATCACATATGTAAGTCCAACCTTAGTAAACTTATTCAGAACCAAAGACTGCAGTCTTAACAAATGAGCAGCATTAATTTGTGAAATTAATCCTACAGATGGCTGTGGAGTTTATGAAATCCACCCTCAGACAACTGTCTGCACCCTCTCCCCTACTCTAGGCCAGTTGAGGGCCAGGTGTCACCAGCCACTGTCCTCATGGCACAGACAATCTGTCCTTTCTTTCAGATGCTGTATGAGTGGACATGAAGAGAACTCACCTCTGTATACAGCAACAACCCTTTCTCTGCCACAAAAAACAGGAACGCATTCTCCATATTCTCATTTTGCCACATCTGCAGTAGGCTGCTAATTAATTAACTGCAACTATTCACAGAGCTTGTGTAATCAAAGAAAGTCAAATGTGTTTTATCCCTACAGGGAGTACAGGGACTTAATAAAATTACAAAGCAAGAAGTTCTGAGAGAGAAGAACAGTCAGACCAGAAGAGGCAGTTTATAACTAGATAAACAAAACTACTACCAGTTTGTGCTTATGGATAAGGGACAGTAGAAGTTAAAGGATGAGCAAGATTATTTCTCTATACCATCCAAAAAACAGTATAAATAATAAATTTTTATCTGAGAATGAGAATACACCTCATCCTTTAGAAAGGATGAAAGAAAAATGAATTACTCCACTGTTAAAACAGTTCCAGAATGGGAGCCCCATTGTTAAATAAACATCTGAATGGGCAATCTGAGCCTCTTATAAAGGTTAAAGGAGTTAATGGAGTTTGGGAAATATATTCCCTAGAAATTGCTGAATGGAAGAAAGTGTTGGTAGCTTTCACCTAGGATATGAAAGCTGGTTCTGCTCATCACACTTCAGGAGAAAAGAGAAGAGCCTCATAACATTTTGAAATACTACACAGGAAACCACACTTTACAGCTTTTTTGTCATATTTTAGTTTCAAGGCACAACTACTCAAATCCATAAAGAAAACAGGAACTTGTTAACCATCCTGTGCTTCGATCACCAAAGTACAGAAGTTACTAATTTTAACAAGATCTAAGAACTACAAACTGAGCCTGCATTAGAGAACAAGCTTCCTTTTTGTAAAAACACCTCTTACCATCACTAACCAATAATGCTTTTTCAAGTTTGCATACTCTTTGCTACAAAGAAAAGAGTTTTGCTCAGGACTATTTTTTTTTTAATGTTCTTTTGTTAATTTGCAACAATAAAAAGTTGTATTCAGAGATGTAAGAAAACATTAAGGTTTCTATTCTGATACTTTGGAATCTCTCAATCTTTGGCTAATAACAAAGAAGTAAAAGTTTCTCATCCTCTACTCAAACAGAGTGTGTTTACAAATGTGAGCATATTGAAGATATGGGACAGGACTACAGAAAAGCTGCTGTTACAGACCCACCATTAACAAAAGTGACTTTTTAGGTCTCCTTTTTAACCGCACTCTTCAAGTCAGCACTTTTTTAGGCTGTGCTGTGGGGAGATTTTTTTGGAGTTTTTTTGTTTGTTTGTTTGTTTTTTAGCTACAGCTCCTTAGTTTCTCACATAGAACCTTTTTCGGGGTGTTTAGACAGGTGAATTCAGCTAACACAGCCCCCTCGTTTACTCACAGCTTGTTTTTCAACACAAGCTGTAACCAAAACATACGAGACCACTAGCGATCTCCGATCACAGAAACAAAACCGCACACCCTGACACACATCGGGCACTGAGCTGAACAGAAGAACGACGGAGGGACCGAATCGCCTTACAACTTCCCGGACAGGACAGGGCAGGGCAGGGCAGTGACGGCACGGTCGCCTCCCTGCACCCAACGGACGTGCGGTGCGGGACGCCCTGAGGCGGCGGAGGGGGGCCGACGACCCGGGACGAGCTCAGAGCACCAGCTGAGAACAGCCGAGGGGCCCGGGCACTGCCGCCCCGCTACGGGCCCTGCGCTCCGGGGCTGCGACGGCGGGACCGGCCCGAGAGAGCCCCGGCCTTCCCGCCGCCCCTCTCACCTGCCCGGCACTTTCGTGCCGCTCCGCTTCCAGAACTGCTTCCTGCCCCCATCGTTCGCCATGGCGGCTGTCACCTCATCCCCGGCCCCGCGTCCCGTCCCGGCTGGCAGCCCCGACCCGCGCCCTCAGGGTTCACTCCCCCCAGTTCCCTTCTCCAGAAACTGGACTGAGCGCTGCCATCTTGGGACCGGGAAACAACGGCTCTCCTCATTCGCCCCCCGAGGAGACCCGGAGAATCCAGCCAACCAGAAGTGAGAATACTGCCGGGTGGGTCGGACCGGCCCAATGGCAGCGAGGGAGTGGCGGGTGGTGCGGAGGGCCTTCGGGGCAGCGTCTGGCCGGTGGCGGCGCCCTTCGTCCTGCCCACGATGGCGGCTGCCTCCACGGCTGGTGTGGGAGTTTAGATGTGTTCTGGGGCCGCTGAGGAAACCTAGGCTGAGGCTGCCGGCGTCGCGGTGCCTTTTTCTTCCTTTCCTGTGAAGCCCTCGCACCGTGTTTTAGTGTGTAGGGCACTGACTCGTAACGGTACCTGGCGCTGTGAACTGAAGTGTTGGCAAAAGGCCGCTTTGGCTGCACAGCGCTTAGGGTGTGATGCTTCCAGGCTTCAGGTCCTTTGGGTTGGGATGTGCATGAGGAGTAACTCACGGTTCTCTTGGTGAAGAATTGCAAAAGTTGATGACAGAAGGCCACATCAAGTGAAGATGCGAGGGCATTTCAATCAAATTAGAACTACTGTTATTTTATACTAAAATACATCGTGATTTCCTTTTGTTTCAGATGCATAGTTGGTAAATATAATTATTTACCCATTTATCTTCTGGGTGGGGGGAGGTTGGAGGGAAGGCTTTAATGTGTCATGGCTTTTACATTTAATACTGTAACACCATTTGTTCGCTTGCTTTTTGATTTTCTTTTGATCCTAAGATGCCTTACCTCTGCAAATAAAATTGGCATATTTCCATGTTACTCTGGACCATGACTCCTGAGAAAACAAAACTCATTACAGATGTTTTTTTGCTGCTTTCTACACAAGACTAATGTAATATTTCAGTGACTGCAGGGGATGTTCTGGCGTAACAAAGTTGGCAGGTAGTGTGATGTGTGACTTGTAACCCAGCATTTGTTCTTCAGCGTGTGTGTAAAATGCAAATTATTAAAGTAAATGCAAGTTATTAACAGTAAAAAATAATGAAGTTTTCTGCCTGCTTTGGGATCTACCTCCTAAGAGCTAACAACAATTTTTCTTAAGGAAATCACATAAGATCTTGGTCATAAGTGGAAGCTGCATGTTGCAGTAATTTCAGTGCTACTTATAGATGAGTTCGCAATGGATTGTATCCTCTTCTCTACTAGTGTCCTTTAAATAAGATCCATCTTAGAGATTATGGATCTGTAAGCATTTTGTAATGCACTGTGACCTTGAGTATCAGCAGTTTTAATGCAGTGCACAAGAAGCATAGTGTAATATGAACCATGCATTTTAACTGTGAAAATGAAACCAATAAGGGTCAGGAGTGGAACTTTGCTTAGTCTAAGATTAAGTTTGTATTAGATCCATTGCTGTTAGGATATAAAAAGGCAATACATTTGCTTGTGGCAGTCAAAAACATGATAAATCCATAGAATATATATTCTATCATAAGCAGTAATATGGATTTTAAAACTATGTTTCTCACTGAAACTGTGTTTACTCATTATTGATATTTCTCTAAAGGGAACTTAATTATTTTGAGGATAGGTAGCCTAGGCCATCTATAATCTTTGTGAAACTTGGCCTGAATGCTGATGCAAAGCCATTTGACTTTTATGTCAGTTGGGTGCAGCCATGTGGAACTTCTGGTTCATTTTAGAAGTGGAGATTTTATTGAATCAAGTCAGCACGGAGTTCACTGCATTATTTCATTTTAATTATATGTCTGTGTTACGTTATTCTTAAGTTTTCAATTCAGTGAAAAGTTCTGTACCAGAAACAAATAACTCTTGCATTGATTTATTCAACTGAATACTTCAGATAATTCTGATGTGCAGATGGTGCTACATTTGTATTGTGGAGAACAGGGAGTCCACATCGACAAAAGTGTTATTAATGGTAGAGCAGAATGAGAATGCAGGACTGTACTTTAGACTAAGCATAAGTTAAGCTTAAATTAGTGTATTCGGTTTGATTTCTTTCTTGTAACTTTATATTGTAATACAGAAGTTCTATTTATGTATAAATATATGTATTCTGAACTATTTTATGGAACATTGTATTAGAAGTATCTATCCTTAAAATACTGATTCAGGATACTGGTTCTCCAAGGATCTGCTTCTTCTGAAAGTCCTGTGGGCCATCTCAAAACTGAGCTCTTAATGATTCCACACGTAATTTATTTTCAACTGGAATGAAATGCCTTGAATTATCAAAATAATTTACTTTTACTTTTGGGGACCATTTTCCAGAGTTAAGTCACTAAATACAGTTGGTAAATAAAGATGCTCGGGAAGTTTATGTTCTAAAATATAGAAATGTACCTGTGTTCTTGGCTGGTCAAAAATTACGAGAGTTATAGCTTGCAGTAGCAATATTTAGAGAAAAGAATGGATTGATATGTTTATTCTTTGCTGTGATAGCTGGGGAGATATATAAACAGATGTTTCAGAGGGCATTCAGTTGCACCAATTTGTTTTCCAGCTCTTCTGTTGTGGAGAGCTTCAGGAAATCTAGCTGTGCTGGTGTGCTTACACTGGTAGACTTTTCTGCGAAGGTACGGCATGTATACTGTACAGCTTTCCTCATGACACACAGAAAAGTGTGGATTGATGGTAAAGAAAATTATCTAAGGTGACAATAGCACTCCCCTGAAAGCTTAGCTCTGTAGGCGCTAGGAGGATTTGCTGATTAAGTTGTTTAAGCTAGAGTGTGCTTTTTCATGCTTATCTTTACATTGCTGTGTCAGCAACATGCTATAATGTAAATGCAACACTGAGGTGAGGTTTGAAATGACTTATTTTAAGAGCCAACAATACTATGTCTCTTACTATCCACGTCTTGTTTACTTGAATCAGTAAGGAAAAAGTAAAAACAGTAAAAATTAGTCACTTCCATATCGAAGTATTGGTTTCTGCATGTCTTTACTGCTTTAACCAAGTTTAACCAGCTAATATAACACACAGTGCCTTCTGTGGTGCCTGATCACACTTCCTGTTTGGCTGATGAGAGCACCCTTCTGTCTAACCATTTCAGCCATCTACTTCATTGTAAAAGTCATGAAGGCAGAGGAAGTGAAGCTGCTGAGCAAACTAACCCAAGAACAGCATTCTACCAAAAAAAAAAAAGAAGAAACAAAGCCAGTTATATAAACAAGACAACAATCTTCGAGGGTTCGGTATCTTGTGTGAAAACAATATAGGGCAAGACAAGATAAATGGGAGAAGCAGTCAAGAGAACCATGAAAGAAAGAACAAAGGGATGCTAAAGAGGAAGGACAGCCAATAACAGGGTTGAAAGAGGTTACATCCGCATCTAAATGTGGATCTGAATGTCCAGTAAATCAAGTGTTCACAACAGTTCTTTCAGCGCAGTGCAGAGAAAAAGAGTGCGTGACAGGAGGGTCAGGAGGGGCATATTGGGCCCATGGATGGGGAGAAAAAGGCAGTTGTGCAGAGGGAGAAACAGCAAGATCTGAGCAAAGGTGGTATATTTGTGAATAAGAAAGTCCAAAAATGACAAGTAAGCGTTGTCATTTTGAACAATGAATGCAGGTCAATGAAGATGATCTGGAAGCGGGAGTGATTTCATCTTTGTCTCTAATTGATTTAATGTGGATAGACAGTGAGAAATTCAGAGGAAACCTTGAAATGTAGACATGTGGCAAAAAATATATATATTTTTGAAGGAGTAGAATACTGTGGTAATATACTGCTGAAAGGTGGCAGTGCATTGGAGAAAACTCCTTTAGTGTGATTTTTATGTTCCACATCAGCTCCACAGCAGCACATGAAGTGACAGGAGGGTACATCAGAAATAGGGTCTAGCTACTGGAGGCCAAAAGGGCTGGCACGAAAACAGGAAGGAAGGAACATGGTGGAGGAGTTGAGAAGCATAATGGAATCATTTCCTAAGGTAGAGCTGTTCTCAGGAGCACTGATGTGAGAGAAGGAGCCAAAGTTTGTGGCCTAATCATGGTGAGCACCTGCTTACTACAGCAAACCACATCCAAGAAAAGTAAAAAAAAATAATAGGAAAACATGGCAAAAGGAGTACTGAATGTGTAGCCAGAGGTGAAGGGAAGCCAGAGGTAGAGACTCAGCAGTCTGAATGGTGCTGCTTTTTGAGCCTGTAAAGAAACTGAATTTCTAGTAGAGTCCTCTGATGTAGCAAGGAATGGCCATTAAAGACTTCTGTAACATATTTTTCAGTAGCAGAATTGGATATTCAGTCAACCTCATGGTGAAAAAGTAGACGTGAAGAAGAAACATTAATTAATTTTTGCCTTCTATAAAAGAAGGTGCTGAAATATTCATGTGTGTGATTGGGAGTATTCTGAATAAGAGGGACAAACAAAGAGAACAAATGTGAAAGCTAAGACACAAGGATTTGTGTGAAGGCTGTCAGCATGAATCCTTCAAAACTTGGAAGCATAAGCATTTCAGGTGGACAAAAACACAGCTGATGTGATCTGGGAGATGCAGCAGAAAAGGTCAACCAGGGGAGCAGTACTGAAAGTTGAAGTAAATCAGAGAGGAAGAAAAGAGAAAGGAATCACCATGAGAGAACTGATGGCCAGGGGGAGTCGTTGTCACAGGCAGACAGTCATCATAGGGTTTTGTAATCTTCTTCTCTGTAAATGGCCTTCTCTTTCACATGAATTGAGCAAGATTTCAGGGGAAGGAGAGTGAGGAACAGACTTTCCAAACTACACTGGCACTGACACACTCTCTCGCAAGTAACTGGGAAATAGGTAATGAAACTGCAGAGAGCACAAATAAATATTGTCTGTCTCTGGGTAAACGTCTGTCTTCCTGTGTCTTCTCCTGGATAAGCGGAAGATGTGGGTAGCTTTAAAAATATTTTCTTCATTAAAAAATTAGTGACAGCACTCCTGTTTACATTTGATGCAGTTTTAGGTGAAGGTGTTTAATTTTGCTTTGGTTTATCTGTCACACAGATCACTACTGCTGGCTGCCGGGTGCACCCC